CAGCGCAACAACCCAGAAGACAGAAATCTTCATACTCATCGCCCTGATGACGGAGGCAGTATGACCTCTGAAACGTTGGTAAACTTCTACCAGACTACACGGCGCCACAACCCAGAAGACAGCCATCTTCGAATTCAGCGCCGTGAAAACCTAAACCTAACTAGTAAATATTTTACTGCACGGCTAGAATGCTTCTTCCTACGTTTGCACGCTGCTACTGTAAGCAGTTTATGTTACAGCTGACAAAAAATATTTGTAATTTGGATGTCTGAAATTTAGTGTAACAGGAGATTAACTTTTAAAAATGCATGGTCCCTTCGAAACCCTTAAAGGGCCAGCAAAAGAAAAAAATGCCTGAAACTTATGCACGCGCAATCTTACGAGGATCTTTAAAAAACCGGAAACCATAATTTAAGTAGTTGGTTCTCACACGATATGCTGTAACTGTACCTATAAGCAACAGAATAATCTACTTTACTTATTATCTTGTCTCCGGAAGTTATACAATCGTCCTCAGAAGGTCATCCAGCCTATGTACGTCTTATAATTCTCTTTAATCCAACCAGAAGTGCTAAAACAACCAATGATTACTATGCCTATCCAATTAGAGGTTTAAACAGCGATTTCGTTGCAAAACATTTCGACGTCCACCTCAAATTTACGGCCAACTTTCTTGACCTAGATTGTCCCTGCGTTTATCATTTCATGTTGCCAAGATTGTCCACCAGGTAACCCAAGTTACGGAGTTGGCACAACTTGAACTTGAGATGAAATCCTGAGGTACAAGATAAAAACCCCTCACATCTTGATTTTTGTTTCTTAGACTAAATACAAAGCATAGCTTTTATAGGAATTACAGCGTACAGGTTTTCGACCAACTTCCTACGTTAACACTTGATAATTTTGTTAGAAAATTTACTGGAAATTTATTAAGAAAATATTATTTCTAAGTTATAAAGTTTATATTAAATCAATAATGGCGTTATAATAGTGAATTTCGTCGCATCATAACACGCAATTATTAAGAATACATCATTCCCACATCTCTGCATTTTAGGCTAAATATACAGAATGTACCATTTAAAACACAATCCATAAACAATCACGTACTACGGGACAACAATTAAATCAGAAGAAGGTCCACGTGCGTGTATCACTCCAGCCAAGGTCACCCTTGTTGCTAGGCCGCTGTCCAAGCCAGCAGAGTCAAGGTTGTTCAGGTACGAACATGACGTATTCACAAGCGGAACGTGTGTTCATTTGGAAACATTACTTGGTATCAAATTGTGCGCTGCCGTTCTTGAAGCATTTAACAATGCGTATTCTGACAAAGAAGAACGGAATGAGACAACACGATAACTGGTAACAAAATTTCGAGACACAGAAGTGTTTGAAGACGGCTATCTTCTGGCTTGTTGAGCAGTGTGGGGTGGTAGAAGTTTACCGAAGGTCCAGAAGTGCGTGTAGCCTCCAGCGAGGAATCGAGATCTTACAAAGAAGTGTTTGTGACGAGTGTCTATCGAACGACAAAACAAATGAAATTACGGCCGTATCGACTATAAGCAGTGTTATCAGCTGCAATAACGGGATACGGCAAGAATTCGATATTGCCATTGGTTTCGTCGTTTTGTAAAGGGGTTCATGCGTAGTAGTGAGGGATGCGTTTCAAATAGAACACTGTACTTAATGTTCTCTTGATAGTGAGTTACACACTCGGACTGGCCACTCAAAAGATGTCGCTCACTCAGATACTGAAATCCAGTCTTTGAGAGGAACGCACTGTGATGCTTATCGCCATCTGGTGGTCCACAGAAGTCGCTGTGTGACTGAATACACATATCTTCGAGAAAATTTAAAATTATTGGCGTTTCCGCATTACAGACTTAGTAGAACGGATGCTCCATAATACACACTGGTTTACCAATTAAAGTGCGCAAATATAAATGCCGGATTGAAAACTGGCATGACATCATATTAGGCAAGAGACAGCAACCTACCTACGTACTGCAGCTGAGTTTGTGCACAGTAATTTTCATGCAGCGTCCAGTGGACGAAGCAAACGGAGAAAGTTACGTTCATTCAAGGCCTTCTGATATAGGTTACAGACAAGCGATGATAAATTGATTCCGCATTCAAGACTGGAGTCTCCATTGCATTAGATATGCACGACACGAATTCACTTACCGAAGAAATGAAAAGAAAGGCGCCTTCCTCCATAATGTCTGTGATAAAATAATGCACAGAGACAATGATGAGTTTCTTGATGATGTCTCTGTAAAATTATAACTCTTTTTAATGAACTGGTGAAAATTCCTGCACACAGCGTAATTTCGAATTTTGACTCTGAAGTATTATTCTTATTTCTTTATTACGAATTACGATCTATAGCGTGTACCGATTCAGAATTAATTACGAAGAAAATGATTCTTTAACAGAGGGGTTGGCAAACTGCGGCCCTCGCAACATTTTTACGCCGCCCGCCACATAATTTGGGAATTAAATGAAATGTAACATGAAATGACATGAAGTGTTTAATCTGGTCGGATGGTAAGTGTCAGGATTTCGATGTTATGATGAAGTTCAGTGGTTCAGCTCATGCATATGTACTCTCAAACATTACAATTTTTAAACAGGCTTATGTTTAATAAAACATGACACATTTTCTCGAGTGGCGTAAGAGACCGGGGGCACCCCTTGAAGCCTCTCCTATATTAATGCCAGCCTCACTTTCACAAGGCACTCAGTTCTTACAAACGCAGGAGATCGAGACACGGCGATACAGCCATAGACCCGTAACTTATCTGGGTTGTCAATACACTTGTAGCCATCACCAAACTACATGCTTTAAGGCCACGGAAAGACATGGACCAGGTCTGAGGCTAGCACAACCACGGGCCCATTAGACAGAAGTCCTTGGTGTCTCCATCATCAGGACAAAGTGCCATGATGATGGAGGCAGCAAGGACCTCTGAAATGTCGGTAAACTTCTACCAGACTACACAGCGCTACAACCCAGAAGACAGCCATATTCGGACAAATCTTCATTAAAACCTCAGATCTTACTAACAGATATGCTTTCTGTCCTCTTCCCCACTTTTACCTCAAGACGGAAGCAGAGTCCAGCTTCCGAAAGGTTGAATTTTATTATTTTATAATTTAGACGACGTACGAAGTCCAAAACAGCAGTTTAACAGATTACAAATTACTATTACTGTAACAGTGATGAGAGGAACTTAAAATATTCGTGCTAATGCCTGAACATTTTGAAGGATCTTTGATTTCATGCATGTTCAAGATTATGAGCACTCCTAATCCTGAAGTCAGGCTTCACTGATTCTGTTGAACACGGTACAACTCATTACTGGCTCACAGTTTTAAATGTCAGCAGACTTGCCTCGCGTTGTCACGCATGAACTATTCAGTACCAAGTAGACAGATGGTACGGCATCAGTTAACCACATCATTCACGCGGTTCTGTAGTTCCTCTGCAAGTGAACGAGCCAGTCACAAATTTTTTTTTCCAAACTGTTTTGGGATAAGATCCATTGTTATCGTTCAATGCACAGACTTGATTTTTAAGGCAGTGATTCGGAATTTTGTTACAAGTTTTGCCGATCTGTTAATATCATAACTATTACGATTTTAAATATGCGGTGAACTGAAAGAGAAGTTGCCTTGGACTGGGTCCGAGATCATTTAAAAGCACCTGCGCTGATAAAACTGGATGTCGCAACAGCAGACGAAAATACGACAGCATAAGCGAACGCGAATTTATTTAATGACTCTTTCAGTTACCCAGACTGTATAGAGAAGCTGATAATAAGTAATAAATTGGAAATGACGTTAAAGGAAGCTGTCGTGTACAAGATACTATCCCAGTATTTTCTCGAGGAACATTAAAAAAAAACTCAGTCAGGATAGCCGATCTCCGGGCCGAGATTTGAATCCAGGACCTCCCGAATACGAAGCAGGAGCTAAGTGAATGTGTAAAACTGGGAAATTCAGATGAAACAAAACAATTAGTTTTGTCTTATTTTTTAGAGTTCATTTTAAGAAAGTAAATAGATAGAGGAGTTCATTGTTATGAGTTAAGTATCTAGGTGTCCTCTTCTGGATCTCTAACCCATCAAATTTCTATGCCCAAGGTGTAGCATGTGACTGCATATGTTAAGTCCTTTCAGTCTGTCTGATTCCATAATATTTTATCACCAAAAATAATGAACGAATTTTCATAACATTTGATGCTAGAGGTCTACATTATAAACTCTAGTTCATTTAATTTTGATTTTTACCAGTCCAAAATTGTTCCTACTTCACAGGAATACCAAATACAATTTTATCGAAAAAATGCTTGTCTTAAAAATGTTGCTGTAGCAAAAATATATCTCGTTTAAAATCTACAATATTCATTGCAAAAATTATTCGATGTCGTGCATACTTAACAAAGTGCAAAAGAAAATAATTTATGACTCTGTGTAGTTTCGATCTATAACGCCATTAACTTTGCAACAATGGAATGCATCTGCATTAAATGAATACCAAGCCAAAATAGCAACAAACGAATTTTAAAATAGGCCTTCTTCAGGGAGTAGAAGGCCGATTTGTGAATGGAGATGAAGCAAAAAGACTAAACCATGTAAAATAAATGTAAGACACTAAATCCCACTGAACAAAAGAATTCCACTAACATTAAAATATTTTAAAAAGAGAAGCAATATTCTAAGAGTCGCCTACACAATAGAAAATGTAATTCATCATCAACAGTGGATTTTGGAATATTACTGAGCGGATAAACAGATGTGGATAACCTGAAAATTAAACTTCGTCTAAGAGAATGTATTATATTTTCGTTTCTCAGAAATACGTCTTACATTTAGCTACACACAGCCAGAAAGTACTATATTAGAATTAGTACATCCCACTTACCAATTTTAATGTGCTCCCAAGTCATCAGCTTTAAAGAACCCAAGTTGTTGACAGCCACCTCCATGTATGAATCACTTGTTTAAAATTGTTCTAAGTATATGCTGACTGACTGTGTCCTGTAAAGATAAATGGTGCATCAGTTAGTACTCCAAAAGAAAAAATAGCACATTATCTCAAATATCTTTACATTTGTATGATTTGAGGTTTTCACAGCGGTGAGTATGAAGATTTCTGTCTACACGGCGCAACAACCTGGGAGACAGAAATCTTCATCTTTACATTTACTAAGGAGCTAAGTGAATATTCAATTCAGAATCGTTTATCTTCCTCCGCTCCGTTACGTCATATCCCAAAGTTCAAAACATAAAAAATATAATATTATCTCACTCTACGGAACGAACATAGACTGAGTGATTAAAGACGAGGATGATAAGAAGAATACTTGTTTGATAACAGTGTATATAGGACAATATCTAAAAGGACTGAAGAGATGGAAGGTTGCAGGAAACTTCCCAATGAGAAACTTTTTAATTCGTACCCTTACTCTTCACCAAATGTTACTAGGATATTTAAATCTAGGAGGATAATATATACAAGGAATGCAGCACTCATGAAATGTATAAAATTTCAGTCGTGAAGAGGACACGTGGGAAAATAATACTGAGATATAGAAGGCTGTCTTCTGAGTTACAGCACCGTGTAGTCTGGTAGACTTTACCGACGTTTCAGAGATGCTTGCTGCCTCCATCACCAGGGCGACTAATAGCCATGAGTCGCCTTGATGACAGAGGCAACAAGCACCAATGAAATGTTGATAAACCACTTCCAGATTACATGGCGCTACACTCAGGAAATATCCATCATCATACTCGCCGTTATATGAACCTCAGTTCCTACTAAATATTAAGACGAGTCTTAAGGAAATTTGCGAACTGGATTCGCCCAGAACTGGACAGCGTTTAGTGGCTGAGTGCTATGAATACTATAAAGAACCCACGGGTTTCATAACACGTGTGAAATTTCTTGACCAGTTAAACAACTATTAGCTTCTCAAGAAGTGATTTACTCAATTGAGTTAGTTAGTTATACGCTGCATACGGGCATGTCTGTTCGTAAGCGAGAGTTCTAGCTGTAAGGCATAGCAAATAGAATATGAATTTAAATTAGAGAGATTTGGATACAGAGCTTCTTCGCGTGGAGGAAATGTGGGAGATGAAAGAAAATCCTAGTCAGATTCTTCTGATATCCATGTCATCCTGAATTATAGTCCTCGTTAGTAAACAGGCTTATTTGCAAAACCCTGCAATTCACGGAAAGCAGGAAGTTACGTGTAACATATTCCTCTCTACGTCTACTCCCAAAACAAGTAAAATTCCTGTACAGAAAACATAAAAGTTCCTGATGTGACGGTTAATGCTTTTCAAATGGGTAATAACCCTGCAAGCTGCTCACTCACACCAGCGAGTTATAACAAAAGTGAGATTAAAAAAGAGAAAAGAAAGAGAGACAGAAAAAAGAAAAGTGAGCGTTTACGTAATTTGCTTTTCTGTGTCAAGGTAGTCACTTAAGCGCATGCGTCTGACTCCACGAGGCTGTGTTCAGTTGTTCATACTTCCATACGCGATTAAATTTCATATTTCACATCCGCTCAGAAAGAATGTTCTGTATCATCCCAGGGCGCTTTGTTATAGTCGCAAAAACAAATCCATTACAGGTAACTGCTAATGATTGTAAACTCTGAAACAATTAAGAGGAGTTACGAAGAATGTGAGCTGATTAAAACGATACGCCTCATGTGTTTCTACGCTGATATTTGGAAGTTACAAGTCAGGATATTAATATGTCTATAGATGCTCAATATATATTGATATTCTGTCAGATAACGCTATGCAATTCATCTATAGCGTGAGTCCATATTTTTCAGGTATATGATTATTATTGTGCGACACGGTCCATATACTCTATTTCCAACGTTTTTATTATAATATACTTAAAAAACACTCTTAATTTTAGAAACTATTCTGCCATTCCCTTTATTTCTGTTGAATTATATCGATATAAGAAACTTTGTACTTTTATGCTCTATATATTACGTTGGAGATACAGTCTCACAAATCCTAACAGCCGAAGGTCATACGCATATAAATCTCGTTTCCGCTTCTGCGTACCTTCTCTTTAAAAAGTTTCACTGTAACATTAAAGGTTGAGTTTTATTGTTATATTAAGCTAAGTTATGAATAACATTTGTTTGCTGACATTTCTCTACGCCAAAACCTGCAAATATTGGCATGACGTAAAATTCCAAACATTTACTCGTTCTTGTTCTGTATTTATTTAAACGAGGAAAAGCAAGTGGTTAATTAAGAAATCAAAGTCTGTGCATTAAACTTGTCTTTCCGCGGAAAGACCCAACACTGAAGATACATACGTCATCAGACAATGCAGCATTACTAGCAGCATCACAGTGGATATACGTCACTGATTAGCCAAGGGAGGAAGAAGTCACTTTAGGACATGTTCCTGGTGGGTTGGGAGCGACATGCACGCACTCTGTTCCTGGAAAACCGGAAGTGGATGTGCAGGAATGTTGGATTCGACTGTGTGGGGACGAACAAATGAGTGGGATAGGAGTCATTAAGTCGTGTAAATAAGGTGGACACTAGATTATGTTCTAGCGTCACGTTGTGAAATAAAAGAAACAATTCATTATTTGTCAGTTTTTTACAAGGCACTTCGCATCTAAAATTGCACTCTCTCACTCGCACTTCCAGTCACTACATGTTTCGGAGTGTACGCACCCATTATCAGGTCATAAGATTTCTCTGCAGATCGCATCACTGTATTTTTTTTTAATTTTAAAATCTTTTCAAATATTACAAAACTTTTAAAAATTTTCAAAGCTTTCCGAAATTTCAAAATGTTCAAAAACTTTGTAACATTTTAAAATAATTTTCAAATTTTAACATATTTTCAAATTTTAAAAGAAAAAAAACACTTAATCAAACCAAACCTAACCTAACTTAACCTAAGCTAAATGAAAATACTATGACTTAACCTAATACATCCTAACCTAGTCTAAGCTAACCTAGACCAGCCTAGACAATTCTAAGCTAGCCTAGCCTACTACTACTATAAATATTATGATGACTCCTTCTATAAAAGAAACTGAACGCTCAAGCGTAGGGAGCTGAGATATGCATACCCGTACAATAAGTTAGTAAACCTGAAGAAAAAGACATCTTTGAAGACCTTGGAGTAGATGGAAACAAAAGAAAAAATGGATCTTAAATAAAAGGGGTGAGTTTAAAAGTGTAAACTGAATTCAAATGTCTAATGATATAGGTCAGTTGCGGGATGTAGGGAACACGAAAATGAATCTTCGAGGAATTTACAGACCAGCTAAGCGACTATCATCTTGTCAAGAAGGACTGTATTATATAGATTCACTTAAAGAATAAATATGTATTGTATATTTCAAAGAACATTTAGAACCAATCAAATAACCAAATCACATTTTCTTCCTAACTCTTTAGTGCTGGGTTAATACGCCTCTTCCTGGCTCTCATTTCAACCTCGATCGGTTCTCATTAGCGCCGCTACATGATGACTATTATCCCACTCTTGCTGTTCGTTCCGATGTTAAGTGATCTGATTTAATAAATGCTTCACCAAACAAACGTTAAACTCAAAAGCGATGTAAACAATACTTATTAACCTGTAGCTACATATTATTCTCCTCAAACCCTCATTAGTTGATCTGCCGAATGGGCATAATAAACACGTACAAACAAGTATGTAGTTCCGACGTAATTAGTCAAAGTTTTGTGATAAAGACTGTCTTTTGGGATGTTGCGCCATGTTGTGTCGCAGAAGTTTACACGGCGTTTCAGAGGTACTTACTGCATTATGGAGACCATAAACACCTTTGTAACGCCGGTAAACTTCTACCAGTTTACACGGCGCAACATCCCAGAAGACAGATATCTTCAGAAAAATTGTAATTTTCCTTCTCTCACTGTCAACGTTAATTTCTGACTATGAATCATGATTATTTTGGATGAAACTGAAAACAGCCAGAAGTTTACATTATGCGTGTACACTTACACGACTAAGGAAATAGAAATGAAGTAAACGTCCACATGTTGAACTTCAAAAGCCATTTCACGTCCTGCTTGCGTGTATGTCCCAAGTCAGTGAATCATACGCCCTGACTAGCTCACGATCTGCGCATCGAACTTCGCTCATCCACAGGCAGGTAGCATTCAGCTATTCACAGCAGCTGCTGGGGATTCGTTATGTCATATGCCTTACAGCACTTCGCTTAATGCAGCATGCATTTGTTCCTGTTTGAAAACTCCAGGTCTCTTACGTGCGTTACGTAATCCTGGAACACTTACATTCGCTGAATAATAATTCATTTTCATTAGCGTGAAGGTGGACTCTTGCATTTATCAGCCTTCGGTAGTGGAACGAAGATGTGGTTAGATTATAGATAGTTCAGTAATTACTCTATCTAACAACACCACATCAAATGCAGAATTATTTTCTAAACGTCTGTGGCAAAAGGTAATGCACCACATATACTGCTGGTTATTGGCCACCATTCGACGTCCTTGCATACATTTGCAACGAACTGAGAAAATATAATTCGGGAAGTATGCACATAAAACAAATTATTTCTCACATTATAAGCAGGAGCGTTAATCTGAAAGAACTTCCTGTTCGGTGGTCTAACAAAATACGTTCCCAAGATGAGATATAATTTATACATTGGACAATCTCCTAGAAACGTAAGATAATGCCCAATGACCAACATATTTAATATAGTCAGATAATGGAAAATGTCCGACGTATTTTATATAACAATGGGCAACATGCAATATATTTAACAAACCTCAAAACTATACATAAACAACCAATGTTTACGACGTATATCATCGGGATCCTAACTCAGAATGTTTCAGCGTACGTGCACTTTGGCTTCGATCTGATTGCGGGAATTTACGCGTGGCTGACTTATGGTGTTTTCTGATCCAGATTTCAATGACAAATCGGCACATGACATACACACACACACACACATACGCACGCACGCACGCACGCACGCACACGCATT